AAGAAAAAAAACTATATGTAAAAACGTGCACTTCATTCAGTCTTCCCTGATTACTCTCGCTCACTCGCTCACTTAGCCCGATGGGCCCCTAAAGTTTTTGGTCCCCTATGCTCCTGTGCGGGGTGGGCCCAGGATGCTTTACGGGTTTTGGATCGTCCAAATACCTCGTGCACCTGTCTCGCGCTCCTGTGAGTTTATGAGCAGGGAAGAACAAGTGAGAGAGAGGCAGGTGGAAAGCACTTGCTGGAGAATAAACATAGTCTGGTTTAAGCAGCAGGCAGGCCAGTGAAACGAGAGGTGGGTTTTCTTCGTCAGGTCACAAAAACATACAATATTCTATGTTTTAGTTTTATTTCTTTTAAAGATCGTCCCATGTAAATATCCTGCAAAACCAAATCACAACATCACCATTTTCCAAATATGCACGTTAAACTAGAAGGCTACATTTTCCAAATCCTATTCGCCCCCAATTAAGGCAACTCTTAAAGTAGATTCAACTTGTAGCCATCTTAGTTGATTTTAAGTTTATCCGGAAAGTTGCACATGTCAAACCAACACCCAGATGTGCTCATATCACAGCATAGAGTTCTAAAAGTTATACATTTAATTAAAAAAAATAAAGCCAGCATTTATGCTACAACTTTTTTTCTCTCCCGTTTATTTCCGTTTTCAGATTGGAATTCATTCTAAATGGGAGAAACAATTCATGTTATGCCTCTGTGTCCAGCTTGCAACTTTAATTATAGTGGAAGGAGGTCAGTCATAAGCGGTTTTTCGACCCCTCTCCCTGTGTGGCATCGCGCCCTGCTCCGGTTAACTGCCAAAATAGTGCTGGACTCCCCTGAAAGCGCCATGTGCGACAGAGTCCCTTTCACCCCGCGTGCACCTGAGTTGTTTTTACCCCCCAGCCGCGGATATGTTGTGGATTTGTCACTTATCAGGGGCCGGGCTGTCAAAGGCCATTTTAGGAGCAATAACTTTCCCAGTTGGATTTAGCCTGCCAACTTTGTGCGTCTCTCAGCAGCGAGATGAATGGGCTGCATGCCTGTTGCTTCCCAGAAATGTCTCTTACGCCTACTAATGAAGACTAATTAAAACATAACAAACATCGACCTTTAGTGCATCCTAAACAGGGCTGCAAGCATGATTTGGATTATGCAAATGAAGTCTACCTTCTTTCACAATATTCAAGTAGGGGACATATTTCTCAGACGTGTCCGAAAACAGACCAGCTTGTTTACACGTGGTGTAGATTTCTGCTCCACACAGCAGTTGTCTTGGCTTTTCATTTGTTCTAAATGATTGAATAACTCTTTCTTCATATTTGATATTTTGATATATATCTATGGGTTTCTTTTATACAATTCAAAGCACATACCCAGGCCTAGACGGAGCTAATCTTAAAATCAGATTGACAGATCACCTCTTCATATTTAATCATTTTATTACTCATAGAAATCTAAGGCAGAAGCATGGATATTGACCTGCGGTGTACATTTGTCTGTCCTGTACTGTCTGGGAGTTTTCTATAAAAATGCCAAGTTGTTGTGGTCTGCGTCTCGGGATATGATCATGTAATGGATATGCGCAGTTTAAATTTATTCCATTACCTTTTATTCAGTTATTATTACCACCCTGGTCGGTTTACAGAGTCTGATCTGGGCTGTAAGATGCACTGGGTGTGTTTCATTTACACTGGGACGGATTTGTTTCGATGGCATGCATAATGTGGCATCACCTGAGGTTTAGGCTGTCATTTTGTTATTGTCCTGCGGAGGAAGTAGAGGAATCAACAGGAATGGCACACAAGGCTAAGCATGCTGACTGAACTGATACATCCCAGTGAGATGTGAACTGTTGTTTACACTGTTGAAGACGATGCTGCATCTGTAGTCTGTTCCCTGTGTTTTTATGTACATGTTTTCCTTTTATGCCTTTGATTTTGGCCCTAAAGCACTGAATGAATGGACACAAAAGAAGAAGCTGGAAACAGAAATGAGAAAATGAAGAAAAGGTGTTAACGGATAATTACACCCTCAGCCAGGAATACGTAATGCATAGAGCAGCCTGAGACTGCCATTTGAATGGGATCTGAGAGGTAATTTGAGCTAAAATGGAGTCCACTTCTGAGCCACTCACTCAGCCCCCCCATGGCATCCACTGTAATTCATTATTCCTGGCCGGCACTGGGAGAGGCAATGAGCGAGGGCAGAGGACAGAGGACAGGAGTGGACCCAGCTCTGGTGTAATGAAGACTCAGTAGACCTAAACCACCCACCCACACACACGCTCAGTCTTTCATTATATATCACAGAGAGCAGCACATTAATGCCACTGAAGACCTTTTGGCAGAGAAATAAGAGTGTGCAATGATTTTCTCCACACTCAATCCATTTCATTGACCTTTTCCATCATGCATGTGACTCTGCCCCTCTCACTGCAGTGTGAGATAAATATTCCAAGAATAATCTTCCTGCCACTGTTTAATAAATCATCTTTTTAAATCTGAATTTTGATGTTCCTTGGTGGGTTCAAGAGGCTTTAAGGAAAATCTGTTTATTTAAAAAAATATATATATATATATTTCCTAAAATGTTCTTTTGTGTGCAATATTTGCATACTTGAACATACATTTTTTTAAACAAAATTTATAGAGCTTGTTATTTCAGATGAACTAAATTCTATCTATATTTTTGTCTGAAGTTGTCAGGAGGTTTATGTTCTCTAAATGTAGTCTTATTAAAAGTAGTTGGATGAATAGGTTTCTGCATTTATTGAGATCAGGCCCTGCAAGACATTTGCTGTTCCTTGTGCCTCCACTAGGGGTCCACAAAGGTCACGGTAATAATGTCCAGACAAGCTGAGAGGATAAATACCGTCATCTGGTGGTAACAAAAGCCATCACTACTGAGTAGATAGCACTGTAATCTACATAGTACCGCACGATGTACTTCTCTACAACATCCTCCCAGTCCTCTGCTCTTCAGTGTGTCTTTGTGCCACCTGTATGCATGCAACACTTGACAAGCACCTGCAGAGACTTTAAAATGTGTGTGTGACAGGAGATCCCTCAGACCAAGAAGTTAACTGCAGAGACGTCTGTTAAGGGGGGAGTCGAGCCACCGGCATCCACAGAGTCGGAAACTGCTGAGGGGTCCCTTAGGTGAGAAGGAATTATAGGATGTCTTTATTTCTTTTTATGGTTGTACAGGAATACTGCTTTTGCATTTATGACCAAGATTTTCTATCAAATTATAAATGTAAATGAAACTATGAAGAATTTAAATCACAGAAAAAAAAGTACATTAGTCCAGTCTTGAATATTAAAACGTTTACTCGGGTGTGATCAGCGTACTTCTTAATCACGCAAATCAATGGTTTATGCACTTGTGTAGCATTAGTTTACAGTAAGTTCAGTGATTCCTCCTTTTTTTGAGATATTGCCACATCAAATACACTCTCTAAACAAAATCCAATGGGGGAAAAGCTGAATGAATCCAGTGAAAGACATAATTTTCCACTTATTTCATGACCGACATGCCAATTTTCCTCAAGTAGCAAAAGCACAAATCTATATCAGCCTGTTCCATCCCTTCATTAGAGCTAAATGAATTTCCAAACCAATGCTTTCTAAATTGCTGCACCATTCCTTCAAATGGAGATATTCTGTAGATGTCTTGTACATCATTTCCCCACACATTTTCCATATACTGACATGTCTGTCTTTGGTAAACGTTGTGATCTCTTCTAGACTTTACCACTTGAACAGGGTTTGGCTGCACAGCATGAGTTTGTAATGGCTGACCCACTGGTGGGCCTCTGCTTGTAATCTTGTTCTAATTGAAGAGTTGTTAAATGTTAACATCACTGTCTTCGTGTTTACTGGCAGTTTGACTCGCTGCAACATAGCAAAAAGCTCAATAACCGCAATTTCAAAGACACAAAGGTGCTGCAAGGAGATGGAATTGAACAGTCTACCAGGAGAATCTATAGATGGCTCAAATCAATAGATCAGATGGGCCCGGGCCTGTCTCCTCGCCTTGAAGGAAGGACGGAGAGAGTGAGAGGAAGAGAGAGAGAGAGGGGGGGGGGGGGGTCTTTTGGCAACAAGGAGGCGCTCTAATGGAGTCTTTCAGTTTGCTGTGGCTGGAAATGAAAGGAGGTTGAAGCCTGGCCAATTATTCTGCCTGAGAAGAGGAGGAGACTGAAAGAGGAAGGAGAAGGGGAGAAGTGGCGTGTGGCGCTGGATCGTTGGCCTGTCAGAGGGAGAGATAGATAGATAGATAAATGGATGGATAGGGGACAGATTCACAGATGTATGGAGAGCCTCCCAGAACGAGGGGTTCATTCAGAATAGCCCACAGATATTGGCCCCACTCCCAGAAATTCCCCCCAGAGCAAAAGGTTAACTGTCAGTCCCCCGCTAGGTATAAATATAAGTCTGCCCTCCAGAAAGGCGTGTTCAGAGGGAGGGGGGGGGGGGGGGGGTTCCTCGTGAGCCCAGTGACGGACGGGGGGGGGGGGAGGTGGAGGTTTTTTTGTGTGTGTGGGGTGGGGTGGGGGGGAGATGCCCACCGAAGACATAATGGCTCTGGAGACTGACAGAGACCCCGGACAAAAGAGTGTCCTCATCCATTCAACTTGGCCGTGACAGCAGACACAACAAACGCCACCATCAGCATCCCAGAAAGCTCTGGTGCAATTGAGCTGCTGCTGCATTTGACACCCAGAAAAAAAAAAAAAAAAAAAAGTAAAAATCAGAGAGCCTTTGTTTTACTGAAGCTGCTGAGACGTGTAATTAGGCTAGTGTCTAGTACTCAGAGGTAGAATGAGGGAAGCTCAGCTGTATGTTAGTATCAGGTTCATATCACTAGTGTGATTAGTTGGTTTTACAGTTGGCGTCAATATGTCAGTACCGTACACATAATTCATCTTCTATAATAATCTAGTCTTAAATCCCTTAATCCAGTCCCATGTGTGAGTAACGACTATACGTTGACATCTTTATCAGGCGTTTATTTTTCACTTAAATCCATGGTAGCAAAAATGATACATGGCTGAAATATCAGACACACAGAAACTCGAAAACATCGACACAAAAAGGTGCTTCAACACCTCAAAAAAATAAAGCTTCCTCTTCAGTGAAACACACCTGAATGTAAGCAGATTCCACCTTAAGTGAACTGCCACAAAAAAGTACTTAAAAAAATAAATCAGGTTTCCTTTGACTAAATGTCACATCTTTTTTATTTCGTCTCTCTGGTGAGAGTCATTGGTTTTGACTCTGAAGGCATGTAATCTCCGACACAAATCTTGTTCACAAAAACAAAGATGTTATTGCTTTTTTTTTTTTAAAGTATCCTCACTGCATATACTTGCAACAAGTTATGTTTTTTTAGCCACTGTCAGAAATAATAAATAAGAATAATCGTCTAATGTATACTCTTGATTGCACTTAATCCTCTAGACCCCCAAACGCTAACTAACATACTGTAGGTCGAGTATGGTAATAACACCTTTCTGATCACATAGGAAAGCCATTAAACATAAGCAATAATGTCATGTTTGTACAAATGATAAAAACTAAACTGTTATAGTGACAAAAGCACTACATTCTATAATACACAGGCAATCACAGATTGCAAATCTTAAGAAATAATGTCCTGCCCCCCCTTTCAACCGGTGTACGTTCCCAATAGTTTGAATCTGAAGTGGGAAATAATGTGTATGATCACAAAGACATTTAACACCTGGTGACCACAGATGCTGGCAAAGGTAGTTCTAGTATACTCCTGGTACATTCTTTCAAAACACGGTCCACCGTGGTGGCTTTCTTCGCTCTGCTCATAAAAAACCCCCACAAATTGTGAATTTCCATCGTGATTAATGCCTTGGCGTCTTACTTTCCTTACTTAACAATCAGTCTGTGTGTTAGAAGAGGACAAAACAATGTACTGAAGGTCTCAGTGTAGTTCTCCAGACAATAGGATGTGATCTTGTTGCGAACATGGTGCCATTCACAGGTAAATGCGACCAGCCTTTATCTCATGTCGCCAGCACAAACTAATTGGCACTCTTGAACACATTTCCCGTCTCTCTTCATTCCATCAACCATCCTCCCGCACGTGCTCCAGTCACTTTAAAGTTCAACTGAGATGAGAGGATCGATGCCACTCTCGTGTCTTTACGGTAAATACGCACCAATGTGTTTCCGCCCTGCTGCCGGCTTTAGCTACATATTCAGCGTACAGATGGGACTCTCTGCAAGAAAGTCGTTTCCCAAATATTTCTTTTAACAAATGGGAAGAATCATTCATACAGTACATTTGGTTCTGGGTCATTCAAAAACTACAAAATAAATACTTAATTTGGTTTGACTGGGAACATACATCTCCCCTGTGGCCCCAGTGATGCAACAGAGGCCGCTGAACACGTTTCAATGCGAGAGTGGAGACATTTTCTTCTTTTGTCCACTCGTACAACATTTCCCTTTTATGATCATAATATATTCAGGCTTAAAAACAAAACCAGTCTTCTCTGCTAAGACCAGGACACATCCGCACTAAAAGCGCACACGCTTCCACTCCATGAACTGCAGAAAGAAACGTATTTCCAGCATTAAAATAAAAACCAGTTCACTTCAAAAAACAACAATAGAAAAAAAGGCAAACACTGTCCTCCTGTGTAGAGTGAAGGAAGCCTGAATGCTAATGGCGTAGAACAGAGGTGGGAGGAAGAGGCTGTTTGGCCACAAGGAGGTGCGGAGGACATGGCACGTTAGATGAGGGGCTTTTTTTCTGACCCGCACATTGTTATGAGAACAAAGGATGAAGTGAAAACAATGAGTCTTTTTTCTCTCCTGTTATTCTCCTCATTCTACACGTAACTTGTCCATCTTTACGTTGTCTGTCCTTCGCCCGGGTTTTCCTGCGTTTCCACTGTTCAGTCCATGTGGGGTTTCTCGACGCCGCCCTGAGGGGGAAAAGCAGAGAAGACGCTCGGTGTGAATAACACATCAATCAAAGTTCTACAGCAATTAGAGAAAACATTACAATAAGTGGAGTTGCAAAGTTGCTTACAAATTGGGTTACTTTAAGTGTATGGGTAGTGGCTGAAACCTTTTTATGCAAGAAGTGAAGTAGGTTTATGATCCTGACAGCGACAGGCGTCTCGCAAAGTATCGTCATAAAACTACTCTATTGTTCTGATGACAGGGAAGCTTAACAGCCTCAGGTGACTCATTTAAAGACATGAATTACAGTTTCCTTTTCCTGTAAACTCAAAACTGCAGCTTGAACCAAACTGTGGAAAATATCCAGATTTATGAACAAATCAGGACAACTTTTAGGTTTCAAGTTTAAAGACAGGAACATTTTTCTTTCAGTTCTCCTTTTTTGGAAGGTTTGATTCTTCCTTTGTTGTATAATAAGGGAAGCGAGTACTGCTTGCTCGACATGATACAAATGCATACTGCTTTTTGCTCACATATTCTCCACCTCTGACTAACTTCAAATAAGATTGTAAGATGATTCAGCTTTAAAGCAGATCAGTACAAGAACTAGACTAGTCTTTATTCTGCCTGTTTAATGCTGCAAAACAGACTTTCACTAGAACTGGCTTTAACCCAGAAGACTAAAAAAAAACAAAAAAAAAAAAAAAAAACTACTTTTGAGATGCAAAGTCTCATTTTCCTCCTGATCCTGCTCATAAGTGACCCACTGGAGCGAAAGAGAGAAAAACAAAACCACGAGTGCAGACTTGTGCCAACATTCCTCAGGCCTCATCACAAACAAAAAACAACAAGTAGCAAATGAGCCTCTGGTCAGCCGAGTCCTGACTGGCTCCGTGTCTCACCACGACTGTGAAAAACAACAGCCCTTAATCTGCTTTCACGCTTTCACTTGAGTCAAACTGAGGGAGTGACGGGACTCTTACTTTACAGACAGAATGAGGTGAGGCTTCTGGGCACAGCTTAATGAAGACATCAAAGCTGACTTGATGGGATAATTATGAAGGACGGGGAGGCGTCCAATGCACTTTGTGCAACTTTAAACCATTTTGACAATTTTATCAGCTGTTGTGGTTCAGTTTGGCATTTGCAAATAAAGCGTGTGTGGTGCGGAGGAGTTTTTTGAAGCAAAATTGGAAAAGCGCCTGGATCAAGAGTATCATGCGACTGTAAACTGGTCATTGTTTAAAGGAATAGTTCACCTAAAAAGCTAAAAGTCAAGATGCCAAAATGTGACACTCATTGTTTAACTTTTAGATGTTACACATAAAGAACTGCAAGCTAATACAATAATTTAAAAATGTCAAATAGATATTGAATGCAAATGTTCTGCACATGGAGGGCGTCACTTTTTTTTTTTTACCGCTAGGTCACTAGGTATGGGAATCAGATTATTATTATAATAAATAAGGAAAAAAATAAATAAATAATAAAAAACTAGCTGAAATGCTCACAAATGTTGTATTCACAAATTGAGCAATGTTTCAAGTGTCTTGAGAGTGACTACAGATTAGAGCCAGACTGATGTTGGATATATAATAAAATAGTTGCAGACATTACCATGGCAAGTTGGCGTCCGATGTTTCCCACGGTAACACCGCCTGAGAAGAATATGCATGGGAGCCAGGAGCGTACATACAAGAAGTCTGGAGACGTATACCTGAAAGAGAGAAAAAAAAAAACAACAAAAAAAGATTAAATCAGTCGTAATGATGTAAAGCAGGTTAAGTGAGCTGATCCTGACCTCCTCGGAGGGTGTCAAAAATAAACCCAGTTCTCTCCGAAGCTAAATAAGATGTTGAACGATAATCTCAGTAGAATGTCATGTCACAGAATAAGAAACAGACTCTTACTAACAGGAAAGACATCTTGAAAAGACACGCCAAAGACAGATCCGAGTGCAGAAAACAAACAACATCCGTCATGCTAGATAATATACTCATTTCTTCTCATTCTTCTCCGTTTCATCCTTGTAAAGTCAGTATGAGCTGCAGCTACCTTTTGAACCTCTTAACATGAACAGCAGTCACTTTTCTCAGCCGTGTATTTTTGATGGTATGCCACTGAAGCCGGTAGGGGGTCCCGTTAATTGTGCTCCCAGAGACAAGGGGACTAGCTACCTCAAGCCTTATCTGTCGCGTCTTTTTTTGATGGAATCAAACAGCTGAGAGTAATTCCAGGTACATTATCTACTTCATTCACACAAGGGTGGGGCTTTCCTCTACAGATATATAATTATCACTGAAACAAACAATGATTGTTGCGAGTGTAATATCAAACCAGAAAGTTGTGATGACAAAGCGCTGGTGATTAGTCATCGTTGACAGAATCAGTTTTGTTTCCTCAATAGGGAAAACCCTGGGCAACTTGTGTTCCCTCTGTGCAATGAATGCTATTGGATAACTTACTGGTAAACTCCATTGTAGACCAGCAGCTGTGTGAAAACAGTAGCTAGGACGGCAGTGGTGATGCCCAAACCGAAGCCGCTCCTGGACCGGTCGAATGTCCACCACAGGCCCAAGGACAAGGCTGCCAGCGTGAGGGAGAGCTGCACGTTGTTGTCAAAGTCTAGTTTCTGTGTTATCAGGCAGTTAAGGACAAAAATCAAACAGAATGACGCCAGCATACGATTAGTTCTTACTCAAATATTTGCACGACATGCAGAAGTTCCGTCACTTCTTAACGGTCATCCTGTTGCTTCAGATACTTTGTCCAAACTAGAGATAGAACTGTGCATTTGACATGTATTTTGAAATCGATATAATAAACAGCAGACAAGGCGAGTGCTTGAAAGGATACAACACTGGCGTGGTTGATGCCGACGAACACTGCGATGCACCTCATGACGCTGGCCCACTCCCTCTTGAACTTGTGCGGCTCTCCCAAATGGCTGTCGAGGCAGGGATACAGCAGGCCGACAACAGCTGTGAGCGGGAAACAAACGGACCCAAATTACACAAGATAAGCAAATCCTGTCGTGGAGCTGCTGCGTGGAATTACTTTAAATGCTGAACATGCACTTCCATAATGAAGTCTCATTTAGACACTTAAAAAAAAAAAAAAAACTTTAAAAACAAGAATAGATTATTTCAATTTGATCTTGTGAACTTTTTCTTTAATGCCGTTTGTTTGACGGTTATTTTTGATGGAATGCCTGGATTTAAATAAAGTTAAGCCCTAGTTTTCGACCAGACAGTGAAAAAATTGCTTGTTTTCTGCGAACATCAGTCCAAAATCCAAAGCGATAGTCAGTTTATCATTGCATAAGACTAATACAACTAGCAAATCCTCACAATTTAGAAACTAAAACCAGGTATTGTGTTTTTTCTTTCTGTTAAAATGGATTAGAATAATGGAAAGGACAAATAATAGTTCATGTAATTCACTGTAAATATTGAGTAGGATACTGTAAACACATATTTTACATGATGAAGACCATGAGCGACTTCCTACATGATACGCAGAGACATTAATTTGGATCAGATTAATGCTAACAGACTGAACAAATATGAAGCTGCAGTTCTACTTTCGTTTCTTTTCTGCCCCGTAGCACATGGTAAGAGGAGCAGACGATAAATCATGTTGTTTTCCCCCTTAGAGCTTCCCCACCCACTTCCTGGTTCCTAGCCTTAAAGTACCGCCCCCTGAGCTCACCCGTTATGACACGAGCCAATGAGCGCGCAGCTGATCTCGTATCCGGCTGTTGCGGCCAATCAGAGGTCGAAAATCAATAACATCTGTTCTAAGTCATTTTTTTTTATAACCGACTGCCAGACTGAACCATGAAGACTAGTATAGCATTAGAGAGGAAGGCTTGTATAATAGCCAACAATAACAAAGCCGAATGGTGATTCACAACCACACAGTAGCAGTGACAATAATATAAAAGTATTGTTTTACGTCTTAAACTAAAATGTACTTATTGTATAGCTTAGTGTGGTGTTGCATGTAAATTAACCCCACAGACATGATTTCCAGACATTTTAGCACCCATTGATGATTCTGGAAAATACCGACTTTATTTTTCTTTATCCTTCTGTCTTTATATGGAAGAAACTACTGCACTGTAACCCCTCCCGTCCCTGCATTCCTTTGTCTCAAACTTAGCAGCAAACTAGGACAAACTGCTCTCCACGACTATTTATAAACACACAAATTCACATTTATTTTCGCAGCGTGTTGTCCACTCACCGGCCCCTGTGCCGCAGCACGGCGGGATCCACCAGGCAGACGAAAACAAAGTTGTCATCACCTCCTCGGGAAACAGGGTGACATGTCTTTGTATCTGCAGCAAGTTGAGCACCAGGGCGAGGAACGCGCCGACGGTGAAGAGGACGAGACCCCGGCGGATCAGGTTGGCCGTCCGGACGTCGTGCAGAGAGCCGTAGGCATTGCTGAGCACCGAGGTGATGATGGACATCATTTCTTCAGCTTTGGATGCTAACCAGTTAGCTCCGGATGAGTGTTTAGTTTCAACCCTTGCACAGGAGCAGCTCCAGCAGTGCTCCTCTAGTCTGGGCATTTGGCACTTCAAGGCTGGAGGAAAGTTGGATACATTTGTGACAACATAGATACATTTAGCTCGCAAGCAGATAGATTCAATGTTGCATAGATAACGAATGGTTTCCCGCCCCCTGCTACAGGAGAAGTAGCGAGTGAAGGCTGGTGCTTACCTCGATGTCAAGATGTCTTCAGTTATGGTTCTGGTGCCGCCTCGGCAAATGATTAAGCCGGGATCCCCTCCTTGTTTTCCTGCTCGTTGCAACAAGGACCGCAATCACGCTGTTTGTTCACATCATCGTTAGCACCCAGACAGAGAGAGAGCGAGAGAACGCAGTGTTGCTCCATTCCACAGCACAGAAGCTCATACCCAGGGTTCTCTGCAGAAAACAATCACAGCTGTGTCGGGTGAGAATCGGCAGCCAATCAGAGCGCGGCGGCTGATATGACGTGGCGCCACCCCACCGCCCCCTCGTCCGGGACGGACGCACAAACCAGGAGGCTGGTGAGCAGAAGTGAAAGTGTAAACAGAGAAGTACTTCAAATGGCGCTCAAACATAGGGAACTATAAAGGGCATTTGAAGAGATGTAACAAAAGTTCATCTATTGGATATTATAAGAGCAGACATACAACCAAAGAAGCCCTATAAATCATGCTAAACTCAGGACTGAAAACAGCTGCAATAGAGATCCATAATGGGCTCATGCTAGATTATTATTTAAAAAAAAAAGGGAAATATGTGTTTACCAGGCTAAAAGCAGAATTCCCTGTTGAATAAATGCTCAAACTTTTACAGATCTTGTCCAAAAAAGCCAACTATTCCAATCTCCTGCACAGGTTCCCTTTATATAGGCAGCTTTGGGAAATGGGATTAGAGGCACAACTTTGTTTTTCTTTCTGTTGTTGATATAAAGTTGTTGAATTTTGGCTCAGGTTAGAGGAGGCGTGGCTTGCCTGCTTGCAAAGAGGTGCATGCAGGGAGGTTCATGTAGGCTAACTGCACGTCAGTCACAGATAATGTGAAAGGTTCAGTCTTCCAAGGACCGACAGCAACATGGAAACGTGTTTTGCAAGAACCAGTGTGACCCAGGGGTATAGTGCAATGCAATAACGAAACCTCCCCCCATTGCATACGTGCAGCAAAAAACATACATCTATAGGTGCATTTCGTTTTTTACTGTGCCTGAGGACATGTAGAGCAAAAAAAAAAAAGAGACTGCATCTAGAATCCAGTTATGTCAGTTTTTCTTTTAAAAAGTCCCCTACTAAGTCATATTTACTTAACATCAGCTGCTGGCACTTTGTACAAAGTAATACCATGGTTGAATCATTTTTGTTTCATGCAAATTGACTTGCAAAATGAAGTGATGCATCATGACCTACAGCAAATGTTTGGTAAACAAAACAGAAAGCTTATCAATCAGATAGCATTCATTTTCAATTAAGAATTAAGTTTAATTAAACTCCTTCGGTGTAATTAAGCCGCTGATGTCTCAGGGTATTGTATTTATTTGGTGCTAAAATGAGTTCTGCACCAAATGGGGGAACTAGTTTCTAGTTGTCACCCAGTGTTCAGCTTCAAAGCCTTAACCCAACTGCTGAATTTATCTCTCTCAATGGCTGATTTGATGTGCCATGTGGAGGAAAACGATGCCCCCATTACTGGGAATATTGACAGAAAACATCATGTAACTATAATGAAAGCAGACATGGGAGCATTACAAGCCCACCAGACGTTTTAGCCACGCTAGCAGCATGGCTCTATGGCAATGTCAGTCTGTCAGTACATTGCTTTGGTCCAGACTGAAATCTCTCAACAACTATTTCATGGATTGCCGTGACATTTTGCACGTAGCATTCATGATGTGATGATGTATCCTAATGATTTTCATGATCATGAAAATGATTTTCATGATTCCCCAACATAGTGCCACTTTTCTGTGGCACCATGCGGTTTGAACTAGTGAGTGTCTCTACAACCGTGGGAGGGATTGCCATGAAATTTGGTGCACACATGAATGTACTGTACTGTACTTTGTGTTTAGTGCGAATTGGCAAATGCTGGCGTGCGAACATGCCAAACTGAGATGGGGAACATAGTAAGCATTGTTCCTGCTTGGCATCAAAATGCTAGCATTGTCATTGTGAGCAACTTAGCATGCTGATGGTAACATTTAGCTCAAAGCCAAGGGAGTAGAATTTGGTAAGGACAGAAAGGACATGTCCATACGAATAATCCAGTGACTACCGAATGTTCCCTGGCAATAATTTTGGTTAAAAACTGCTCTTATACAGATGCAAATGAATGGGGGAATAGAATAAACCAAAATATTTCTAGTCTGTCAACTAGTATTAGGGCCACTGTTAGAAAAAAATAATAATCTGAGATTTAGAGAATCAAGTCACAATATTGGAACGGAGGATAATAATGAGTCTAGTGGGCCAACGGGTTGGACAACGCACCTGGGGTTAAAATACCCAGGAAAACTATAAAAAATAGTGAGCAACATGGATTTTGAGTGTGGATGGGCAAGTTATTAAACACTAACAGAATCAGGTTTAGAGCAATTTATTTATTATAAACAGTTCTTCACAAAAACAAAACAGAGTGTTATTGTCAACTTGCCACAGACATTAGAGAAGAAATGAAACCGATCGACAGTAAAACACCTCAGAATCTTTATGAGCCAGACATATACGGGCCACCTGAGTGCAGGTGCTTCCACACATGCTCTTATGCCAATAAAACCACACAATAGCGACTGAGATGAAAGTTCACACAGTTACCACATCACCGATATCGGAACCCATCGGCTATCGGTCTGACGACGGCTAAGTCTCTGTGGGCAAGGGGCTATATTGACGGCGACCAGTACACTACCTTGTTCGTCTGGTAGGAACACTAGTGAAAAAAAACATATGGGGTCTGAGCATGGGGCTGAAGTGAGATAAGCAATACAGAAAAAACACAGTTGGGTCCAACATTTTTATAGGTCGTCCACCTATTATATTCGCTGGGTCTAGTACGAATCCATGTTCAAAATCAAGGTGTAGATGCAGTAGTATACAGACAAAACAACACTGGCTATGACAACCTTAAAAGGACAAATTAGAAAACCAGTTAGTACATATAGTACGAAGCTTACTAAATAACACTGTTTTGTTTGTTTACATCAAACACAATCTGGCAACACACATGGCTCCACAGTTAATGCTACCTCAAACAGCAGCAGAATGTTCAAAGAAACTACAGTACAATGTAAGCCATCACACACACACACACACACACACACACATACAACTGAATGAATAAACTACAGGGTAACGTTTACCTCAGTGGGATATCAACTCCCAATGCCTTTCCTGTGGTGAGCTCCAGCACAACAGCTACCTAATGTATATTTATAAAATGTGGTGTTTGTTGTGTTTTTGTCTCTTTGGGGCTGTTTTCAGACTCCAGGATGTTTCCCACTGAGAATGAGAATGAGGCTGTGAGCTGCACTTTATAAGAGGTGGTGAAGTTAACATTTGTGTGTACAATAAAACAAACAGCGGTGAGATTTATGCCTCATCAGAAGCGTTTTAAGCTACTTTCAGTTTTCAACCTTTCGATGAAGACCAATGACAGCTTGTTCCCTAAACTTATCCCAAACAACCAAATTTCTTTTCTCAAAATATTACAACTTCTGAGCGAAAATCACATCTGTAGGAAATGTTTTGAATGTGCAGAAAGTTTTGAACGGTGGCAAACATCTTGAAGAAATACACATGAGCTGTTACACTCCGGGTATTTATAAATGAATTGCATGAATATATCATTGATGGGAATAGGTTCCGCATGCGCTTGTTACTTCCTCAAACAAAGGACACAAAAGAGGATGGGAGAGTAAATCACGCCTACATGTGTGTTGATTCAGCAGAACTTGATCTGAATGCAAATTTGAAAGCAGTACAGAGTGCCTGAGAGCCTTACTGCGTTATATTGCATTACATTTTGAATTGTCACCTGCTGCCCAAATTATGACCCCCCCCCGCTTAATATGTTTAACCACCGCCCTTGCTCAAAGCACTGCTGTGCCTACGTACAGTTTCCCAGACCCACCAGCATGACTGTCGACTTGTGTCCACAAACAGTGATGGCAAATGTAGTGGAGGGGAAGCTACTTTATTCCAGAGGCTTTCACATTATTAACCATGTCATCACACAATTTAAAAGATAAAGAAGCTTTTTTTTTTTTTTTTTTTTTGCCCCACTATAGCAGCTTCAGACTGAGTGTTTGAATGTTTGTATTTCATATGGATATATAAGTCATATTAGAGGTATTACAGTTTCCAGACGGCACATTCAAATTGACCGAGGTTAAATTGGTTCCACTTGAATAGAATGAGAAAATGCCACTTCTAAAATGACAGTGATAACTGAATGGTTAAATATAAATGTCACAGCTGCACTCCACTGGAGCAGTTTCACTATTTTGTCCCAAACAAGTCAAGCATGAAAGTATATTGAGGGGTTGAAAAGTTTGCATTTGTCCCCCCCCCCTGTCTTATTTTCTGAATGCTTGTGTTGGTGTATGCATGAGACTTGAACAAATACAGCATATCTTATTGGATGAGAAGGCCTTTTAACCATCTGTAAAGGTTTCTTTTTCTTCCTCACTCATTTCATAGGACGCTTTGATGTAATGGCATACATCCTCAATCATGACCTCTTTACAAACACGCCGTTGTGGTTCTAAACCGACATTTAGAGACATTCACTTTGCTGCAATCCATAGATAATGACATCAGTCATATTCACTCTATCCTAATTTCAGTGGTCCATGTGGTTAACACAGATAAATCGCCAGAGCGTCACAGTTTTGCAAATGGGGAAAGAAGGTCAAAAGGAGAAGGGTGCACGTACGGTGAGCTCTCCAAGGCCCCAAAACTACTGCACCATCTTAGTAATCCAGCAATAGTTTTCCTCTCTGCTTCAGTGAGTGTGTTGACGGTCTATGGTGTGTGTGTGTGTGTGTGTGTATGTGTGTGCGTGCATTCCCCAAATTAATAAATATCTCTCTGTCTAATTCTCGACAATCTAGACGCCTGAGGGTAAAACACTACAGCAGTGAGTGTGTTAGATATGTGTGACCTGAGACCGCTTCCACACAGGAAGACACATTAGTAATCTTATTAATTACTGAAAGATGGAAAACCAGCTTAATAGAGAAAAATGGCGATATCTTGTGGGAATTTAGATCCCTAATGTCGTTTATTGTGCTACCACTGACAGTAACATGTGCATTAAAGTGGAGGCTGAAATTACAAGTCGTATGTTAGCTAATGCAGAGCCATAACAACCATGAAAATGACTCGGCATATAGCAAATAGCTCCTAGCAACCGGCAG